CCCCAAAACCCCAAAACCCCAAAACCCCAAAACCCCAATTTGATAACTAATTTTTGAAAATACTAACGAATAATGTCTATCTATAATGGCTTTACAACTCGGAATCAGGAGAATCTTGAGACCTTGAACCTCAAGAGCTATAACAGGACTCTCTACAGCATGCTTTTTATCCTTCAGATTACTGTTAAAAACCTGATTAGTAAGGTTAAGTGATGAAAGACTTGCCAATTTAATGAAGAAAAGTTCAAATAAGTGTTTCTCTAAAACTCTATCCAAGCTGAGACTAATAGAGAAATAACAAACATTATCCCTTAGTGTTCTCTTACTGCTGTAATGACCTCCAAGAGTACTTGTAAGTGGCATGCATTATCACCATATTACTTAACTATAATCTGACTTTCATGCTAAATTATCCTAAAATTTCAGGCAGAAAGGGCATTAACCCGATGAATATAGGTTCAACACAAAGAAATTAGTCAAGAAGAACATAAATGACTCAATTAGGGAGATCCCTAAATGAGAAGAAACATTTATGAGCTATACAAGTATGATTCCTCTTGACTAGTTCTAGAGTCTATTAATGAATTTAAGCTCTCTTCAGAGCTAAACCTCAGACTCTCTGAGTCAAGGAACAGCTCGAAAGGAGGAGATATGAACATTATTATTGAAGGAGAGGGTGTTAATGGTAAATAAGACTTTACCCCTCACCTCAGTCAATAGTAGCATTGTCAAAGCTGAAAAATAACACTAAAACAATCGCTTATGATAAGATCCTGGCTTGTTCTAAGAGATACAATTTTGCTAATGTCGGAAATATGAAATAACCAAGCCAGGTAAGTTTGCTTATTAGGTTTGTCTGATTTAAATCTGTAGGTCTATCAAGTCTAGAAATTTTATTGCAAAAAGCCAGGGATCAAATAATACCAGTCTTGATAACTATGTCACCAACGACTCTAATTATTTTGATATAAAACTAATTAATCCTTCCGATAGTCTGATTCATTCAAGAAATACTATGTACAAATTTTCAGATTTTCATAGTCAGGGTTCTAAGAATAGCAGAATGGAGAGCAAAAATAGCACAAAGATGAGCTTTAATCCAAAGATCAGGAGTCAGCAGAATTCGCGAGGCTCTAAATATCATCCTAAAGCTCCTGGAGAAGGACCTAGGTAGGTCTTTACCTCTATTTTCAGCTGATTTTACCAGTATTTATGCTAATTTCCCTCTAGTAATCACAGTTTTAAGTTGTTTAAGAAACAAATTCGAAGAATTCACACTCGAAATCAGGAGAAAATGTGCACAATCATCAGCAAAACAGCTGAGTTTCTATAAGAGTTTTCAATATAATTTAAATATTGAGGGGTTTTGGGGTTTTGGGGTTTTGGGGTTTTGGGG